GGATACATTTTTTACACTACAAGATATAATACTAATATTTATATCTTAAATTGTTCACTTTCAAACATTAAAACCCACATGCTTTTAATATTTCAAATCCTCGAATATTATTTTTGTGCAATACTGGTGAAACGCTGAATACTGTCCACAAAAATGGTGGAAATTATTTGAATATGGGGGGAAAAAATTAATCTATCGCACAATGATTTCCTAAATCTAAATGCATGTGAAACTTGAATTAATTAATTATTTATTTAATTATTAGCTTTTCATCACCTCAGAAACCCTGTTTCAGAAGAATGTGCAGAGTGGCAGGTGCTACACAAAGCCAGAACAGCTTTTAAAGACTTCATCCCATTATACTCCAACCTCATCATAACTGGCTAAATACTTCCAAAGACAGCAATAAGACAAAACATTAAGTTGGGTGCAGTTAAATTATAAGAAGTGTAGTGATGTGTTGTTGACTGCATTACCTACCTCAGACTCCCATGATTCTCTACCCGTCTCTGAGCTCTGGAGGGCTGAACTCAGTCGTTTGGCCTGAGGCATCCGAGCATCTTCATCATCACCTTCAGCGCGCTGACGTTTCCTTTACAGCATCATTACAGGTTAAAGATTTTCAACACAGTAGTAAAGCAGCTTCTTAACATTGATGGCACACACTTACACATTAATACCTTAATCATTGTGTTGTACCATATCTGTGTATTTCACATGCTATTATGTATACTATATTATATTTGTTGCAACAATGTTACAGTCCACTTTGTCACATTCTGTCTGTAAACCGAAAATTGCCCCTCTGTGATTAATAAAGACATGTTGTTTTATTATGATGAAGGAATTTATCAGCAGTCTGTAGACTCACCTGTTTTCTGTAAGCATTTCTGCGAATCCCACAGCAGATTAATGGTCTTGAATAATGGTCTTGAGTGTTTTATTGAGCAGCATTCGCTCCTGGATCAGCTGTGTTACTCTGATCGACAGCCTGCTGTGTCATGCTACACTGAATACAGCATAACACATTTAGACACTAAATACTCTCATCCCTGTCCAACTGAAAGCGAGTTTATGAATTGGTAATGAGACAATTATGAATCAAAATAAGTGAAAATCGTATTTAGTTGATTCTACAGTAATAAATGTGTCAAACTCTAACTCCTCCGGCTAGTCTCTATCATAGCTGGGTGCTAACCGACACTTCACTAGCTGTAAATTCAAGCTTTCTGTTCTACTAATTTAACGCTGTAAGTTATTCTTCCTCCAGACTTACTTTCATGAACGTAGCAGATATAATAACGTTCTCTGTAAATATAACCCGGTTATTCGTCTATTTGATGAGCCTGTACGACACCAAACAAACCACCGCCGCGGTTGCTGTTATTTACATGCTAGAGCGCATGCGCGGAACTCAGACTGTAAACACGAGGGCGGCGCGGGATTGGCTGATCATGCGAGGACGTCACGTCCGATGCCCACGGCGCTTCTGCTCATCCAAGAAAATATATTTTACTTTTATCTGGTTCGTCACCCATTCAACTATACCGTTATTTATTTATTTATTTATTTAGCTGCTTCTTTAAATTATTGAAAAACATGCACATGGATAAAACAAGTATGAACAGAAACAACAATTTGCTAAGGGAAGATAAGTAGGCTACTATTACACAAAGACATGAAAAGAAATACATGCTTGTACAGTCTGTTTTTTATTATATTTTATTTATTTGCTTCTTTAAATTATTGAAAAACATGCACATGGATAAAACAAGTATGAACAGAAACAACAATTTGCTAAGGGAAGATAAGTAGGCTACTATTACACAAAGGCATGAAAAGAAATACATGCTTGTACAGTCAGTCTG